TTACAGAAGGGAAACTTAGTTAAAACTTCAGCTCTTTAAAGCTACACTGACAACAGGTACGGCCTAAATCCCGTGGTCAGAATTCTGACCACGGGATTTAATAATTTGACGAGACTAGTGCATCATGTGCTATGTTTATTATGTATTATACTGATAGGAAATCAAACGAAAAATTAGCACATTTATAACCCTACTGAGTTCTTAAGGGAATGAAAGATACCGGCTCATTTTGTCAAGAACATGATAACACGCTCGTTGGTCATTTATCCGCGCTATCACCATTATTACTCAGAATTCTGACCACGGGATTTAGGCCGTACCTGTTGTCAGTGTAGCGATAAGTTAACATAACAGGGGTCCAGTTTAATATAGAACTTGGTCTTGTGTTTTAAAATTTCAAAACCTTGAAGTGCACACATGAATCTATGATATTGTGAATTTTAGTTAAAAGATTACTGTAACTTTTTGGAGAAATATTTTTCTCTCAAAATATTGATCTCATTGAATTTTATCATTTTTAAGTCAGGATTGCCCTAGGAAGGATACAGTTTAATATAACATGTATTTTCAAGGAAGGATCAATAAATTGAACAGGAAAATGTGAACCTACACAATAACACACTGAACAGTACACATTTCAATAATAAAATTGCAAGTTTTCCTCCTACCCAGGGATGCATATATGTAGATAAAACTAAATTATACTATGATAAAGAAATAACAGTTTGTTGAAGTTTTAAACAATTCTTGATCAATTTCATGCATCTTTGCATCTGGTTTCTTGATTCTCCTTCACCACGAACAAAAGTGGTCTAAGTAGTTCAACAATTGTATCACTAGCCTGTCAACACTGAGGTTGTGAGTTCGAACCCTGCACCTTGCAGGTGTGCTCGACTCCAATCTTAATTGACAAGGATTGTCAGTTTTCCTGCCTAAGGTCTGTGGTTCTCTTTAAGCACTCCAGCTTCCCTCAACAATGAAAACTTAACGCCATGAAATAGCCAGCTACGGGTTGAAAGTGGTGTCAAACACCAATCAATTAATCAATCAGTTCACTAGGAACACTCTAACCCAAACATTTGAAGGTCAAGGATGTGTAAATTTTATGAGTTTTGATTTGAATTTAATCTTAACTTTTGTTAATTTAACGAAAGGATTTTTTAATGCATTCTGATCTACAAATTATTTTCAATGCACTCAAAGTCATTTTGTTGTAATAATGAAGCATCCGTGCCTGAATGTTCTAATCAGTGATACATTAGCGTAATGTGTCAATGCATCTGATTTCCATTTTTATGAATGAATGATTACAATGACAATATTGCATTTGTTACATGGACTAATGATTCATTGACAAAAAAACTGAGCTCAGCCTCGGGGAAAGATTTCCAAATGGATGGATTTTGATATTTTATTTGATTTCTGTAATCACCTGGCTAACATGTCAACTGAATATTCTAAGCTTAGGACACAGGGGATCAATTTTTTAGAAAACATGTCTGTCTGATGGATTTGCTATTTAACATGAGATTGCTTTACAAATCCGACAGATGCAGAGGGCATAATTATTGTATGTCATTTTTGTGATTCCCATAACTGGATTATTAACCCCTTTTAAACATTTTGAACATTTTACCAAACTGTAGCCTATCTATGCTGTATTTCCTTTTTCAGAATTAATCCATTAGATCAATAACTATTACTGCATGCAATCCATCATTAGTCTTTATGGCCAAAAAAAATTGAACCTGTGTTTCCGCTAAAACATGCTTATAAACATTATAGTTGATTCAGGTAGACAAATAGTGATTTCAAAAACTATCTAAGGGGTTTCAAAAGGAAAAATAGTGACTTTGATAGTTCTTGTTAAAAAATGACAAAAAATATTAAGGGTCACGGCACTTGAAATTTGGTTAGGTTGAGTTAGAGTTTGGAAACACTATTTTAGGAAGCATATTGTCATGTCTTCATAAATACATCTTTTAAACTGAAACAAAAGGTTCAAGATTATAACTGTTAATTTGATTTAAAGGAGGACCTTCGACTTAATGCAGTATTACTACCAACCAAAAATGCAGGTCAAGTTTGAACTGCTGTTGCAATCACTGTTCTAAAATTTGCCCTTGTATAAATGCCACAAAATGGTTTATGAAATATAATTTAGTGACTTCTAAATAATGTGTTCTACCGTGAAATTCAAGTAAAGTTAGATTGTCAATCTTTGCACAATAACCATTATGGAGAAATGCCCTTGAATTGTTTCAAAATGGTTAGAATGGTTTGTCCATGTCCAGTGGCAAATATTTCATGAATGTTAGGATGACAGCAAATTAATTTTGACATTTGGCATTTACTGAACCAAAGATATGCCCCTGTTATTATCTATAAATAGTGAACTCATAATCATGCATGGTTTCCAGGTGGTAACATGAATTGGCTTATAATTGGCTTTAATTTATATTTTGTTTTTTGTCAGTGTGCCCTTTTATGATGGTCTTTGGCTGTCCTAACTTTTTACTTTTCGAATAATAGAATTCTTGTTTTGAGACTGGTTTACTCTTAAATTCCATATAATATTCAAACAAATTATATGATATGGTGTAGGTTTTTTAAAAATTACTGTAGCTAAGCTTTAAATTATCATCAGTTGAAACTTAACTTGATCATGTACATATTTTAAAACCTTAATTGCTGGAACATAATCCGCAAAAATATTTTAAGTTTTATTAACATTTTACTCTTTAAAAAACTAGTTCAATATGTCATTGTAAAGAAATGTTTCCTTAATTGCAGATAATTTTTTTTTTCTTTTTTACTAGATTGTAATCGATAGCTTAAGAGATGTATGTAATATTTTATAGACAAAAAGCTCTCTTTTCTTTTAATATTTTTTAGTTAGTTCAGTTGTGTCATACACTTGATGTTGCATTTTTATCCATTATGAGTATACAGAGATCTTTGGGTGTAATCTTTATATCTGTTACCTAAGGAGAATGAATGTGTGAAAAAAATTCAATGAACAAAGAAAACATTTTCCTTAAGTTATTTTTATATCACAAATAGGGTAATACCCTCTTCAATTACATGTCTTAAAAGTAAGGAAATACAAATCTCTGTTATTATTATAATTTGCAAGTTCACAAGCTATGGGAGTTTTCTTGCCATGCAATTGATGTCAAATCATCCAGAACTGGGGAAATTAAAGGTTGAAAAATAATCTAAAATTAATTCTATTGAGAGATATTTTAAGTTTCGTCACATCGGCAAATCTGAAGTGGATGGATTAAGTGGTTGTTGCTTCCTCAGTGAAAGGTCTAAATAAAAATAATAATTTGCTGACTTAAGGTGTAATTTTTAATTGTTGTGAACATTAATAATTAAGAACATTTGTTTATCTGATTTGAGAATTTACCTGCTCAAGGTTTTTAACCCTTTATATACATGTATATATCTGAAGATCAGACATTTTTTAAAACAGTGACCCCAAAAAACTGCTGAATAAACATAATCTCCAATTCCTTTTATTCACTGCCATTTTTAGCCCAACGGACCCAATGGTCCATGTGAGCCAATTTCTTGTCACTTGGTGTCTGTCTGTGTCTTTTGTTAACTTTTACAAAAATCTTCTCCTCTGAAACTACTGGGCCAATTCAATGAATTGGAACTTAACTTCATTCTTTGGAGTATTTAGTTTTAAAATACCTCAGATGTTCAGGCCTGCCAAGGCTAAAAATAGAAAAAAAAGGTAAATGTAAGTATTGTCTATTATCGTATAAACCATTATAGATAGACAAAATCTAACAGGGAAGAAATTTTAAATAGAATTTAAGACTAAGCTATTGTTCATTTAGACCATGCAAAACTGTAAAACATCTCATTATTGGAGTTTATAATTGCCCAAACTATAATAGATAAAGAGAAATTATTAGAAGCAAAATTTATCAGCAGAACAAGATCTATATATCAGTCAATATGGCCTAAATTGTCATTTACCCCTTATAGGAGTAATTGCTGTTGAATGACCATTTGTATCCATTTTTTTTTGTGAAAACTATAAAAAATAATGAAATATGTTATAGCAAAAAATTATCAGCAGGACCAGATCTACTAATGAGTCATATGGCCAAAATTGTAAGCCAACTCCTTATAGGAGTTTTTGCCCTTAAATGACAATTTTTACCCATTTTTGTGTTTTTTTATTGAAACTAAAGGAGATAGAGAGAAGCTTTATAGCAGAAATGGATAGCATGACTTGAGATTATAATCTTCTTCTGAGAAGTCAACATGGACTTAATCGTCAGTTGCCTCTTTCTTTTTGCACTTGAATGATGATTTTTACTCATTTTTGTGTTTTTTGCAGAAATTTGTAGATAGAGGGAAACTGTAAAGTGCAAAAATTTACCAGTAGGACAAAATCTATAAAAGACAATAGTGCTGATCTTAACTTATCAGGCCATAAGACTGCCTAATTGTGTTGGTTAAAAGATGGGATATTGGATACAGCTCCATTGGTCATTAGGATCCACTTGATTGAATAAAAATTTAAATAGTACCTTAATATGAGAATGAGGTTGTAAAGAGTCTTTCATTTTATCTATACATTAATTTCTGCTCTGAAATTTAACAACAATTTAACTCAATTATTGATATGAAATAAGTTTTTAAATATCTAAACTTTATGTGCAAATTTTACCAGAAATATCATGGGAAATGATTTGATGCACGTAATCAAAGTCCCTAGTTTCAAAAGCTTTACCGTAATTGAGCTTAGTTAAACGAGCATTTGAAGTTTGATGCAGTGATGCATCTGTAGTTATATATTTAAATTTTAAAACATGGGATATATTAAATGACACAGTTTTACAGCTCCATATAAAGATAGAAATATATAATAAAAGTTTATTGATATTGGACTGGTAAATGTTTAACTGATTGGTGGGTGTGCCCTTAGGTAAGGTATGATAACTTACATGTTAGAGGAGTTTTTGTTGACTAGAAGATGAGTCCATGTTGTATCATATTAGATGAAAACTGAACCTTGTGTGAAGTCATGCGTGACATTCATAATATTCATGACATTTTTTGGTGATTTTGACAGATTATATTTGCCTATGTGTCTACGTCAGATTGGGGGTATAGTAGCATTATACATCAAGAATTTGGGATATGTAAGAAAACTGTTTGGATTTTTACCTGTGCAAAAATATTATTTGATTTGTTACGTTTTATATTTTTGTTGAATTGTTACGATCATAGACAAGTGTAAGATTTTCCCAGGATATTTTTCATTTACCTGAGGGTTTTTAAGATTGGAAAATATAGTGATTGGAGTAAGGTGAATAGGAGTATCACTTGTAAAGGTAAGAGCCAAGTATTATGACATTGCATTTTTAATCTAATTATTCAAATTTGCATGCAGCCTAGGTCTGCTAAACGATGCATTTATTTCTCAAGGCCTTGTCTGCAAACAATGCATTTTTTAAGGCCTTGTCTGCCTTGAGCAGTATTGCACTTTTGATGTGATAGCAAACTTTTAAAAAGCATTTTTGAAATTTCTTTACTTTTACTTAGGCTTGATCTTACTTATTTTTAACTTGATTCAGTCCTTCACCCATTAAACCAAGAATGTACTGCACAAACCTTCTTTTTCTTAGTACATGCAGTACAAAGGCACATATACTATGGAAGGGTTTATCTCTTGTTGGATCTATAGTCATGATTTGTCAATTACCTGTTGAATGTTGGGGGTACCTTACCCACTATTAAAAGAAACCAATGGCCATAGATTCGTGCAAATGTATTAGTGGTGATGATAAACTCTGGCCCATCAAACCTAAACTATAAATATATATATATATATATATATATATATATATAAAACCTAAAGTGTTGAACTTTCTTCAGGTCAGTTTTTAACCAAAAGATTTAGCCTGAATATGTGAAGCTGTAAGGATAATTTTCAGTCTTGGCACTCTTAGCCTCTGCCAAATATAGGATACCATAAGGGTTTTATCCTCTTTGTACATGGGTCATTATATGAGATCACTTGATACCTATTTAACTTTGTGTGTGTACTTATATTTACCTTATGCAGTTATAAAGTATCAAGGTACCAAGGGTGCAATCAAAATCTACCAGCTATAGAAAGACGGACAACAATTAAACCAACAACAAAAAAGACAAACAATAACAGTCTACAATACACTACACAGAAAATTGACAATCTAAGCAACATGAATCCAACAAAAAAAGCAGATTTTACATTGCTCTGGATTTAATATTTAACAGCTCAAATTTCAGTTGTGAAGCAAAAAGTACTCAAAATTTTCATAAGGCTTATATATATAATGCTTGCAATGAAGTAAAATTATAATTATATGTTGGGGAAAGAGATTTTTGCCAGTTTGTACAAACATTTTCTTGTAAATTGATAACTTTTTAGCTAATTTTTTAGCTAAAAGTTTTAATCTTACAAATTGTATTTTTCTAAAAAGGATGATTTTTGGCACTTTAGTTTACAGAGCCTTGAGGTTTATTAGTATAATTTGCATAAATATGACAAATGTACTTTGACATTGCAATGCATTTACTAATAATAGGATTGTATCATGGTTTTGTTAAACGTAATAGTATAACACATTTGAAAGGAAGATCAAATTGTTTATATGGCAAAGATCCTGTTTTGAATAATAGCCTCAAAATAAAAAAGTTGCATGTATTGAAATTGAATTTTCCAGTTTAAATTTTTCCATAATTATAACATAATTTAACTGAAGTTTACAAACATTTATTTTCTTATAATTATTAAGAAAAATATATGTTTGAAATTTAAGTGACTATATATATATTACATAAGACACCCACATGACTCAGAGATGTGCTTCGTTGATTGCTCCTGATCCCATATATTTTGAACTATGTAAAAGATATTTTCCCACCTTTGAAGCTATTTATTTTATGTATTTGGCAACATAAAAAAGTATTGATTTAACTTATCTATGTTAAGGAAAACTTCTTACATTAAGTCACATGATCAGGTATGATTATACAACATGCACTTTCTGTGCGACAATATTTTTCCTCAATTTCGTCTTTAAAATGTTTTCAAGGTCATTGTTTCTCTTGTATTATTGATAGATTTATCTGTAAACCGTACAAACAGTCCTGTGTTTTGTACTACTAATGGTAGAATCCTATAGAAAACATATTTGCATGTAGCCAATAATTTAGATATTTACATAATGCACTTTCTGTGCAACAATTTTTCGTCTTAATTTTTTTTTTTTTAAGTTTTCAAGGTCTTTGTTTTTCTTGTTGTGTCATTGACAGATTTATCTTACTTAACCACACAAACATTCCTGTGTTTTGTTCTATAAATGATAGAATCCTTTAGAAAACTAGACAACTAACAGTTATTGGGATTTAATTGTTTGCATGTAGCAAGCAATTTAAATATTTACTTAAAAGATCATCTTTTAAATAACTTGTGTATAGTTAATTTTGGGGTGGTACAATTAAAAACTCTGTGGTTCAAAGGTGGTCAGTTTGAAAAAGATGTAGATCATATTTATCTATAAGAATGTGCAAATTTGTGCTGCTGGATTAGAAGGATGGATTGTTAGAACATGCAATGGAGGTAAATTAATACTGTTTTTGTGGACGTTTTTATTATCACATCATTACAATACATGCACAAAGGCATGTAAACTAACTTACATTATTAGCCCATTCTCATTATTAGTCAGTTAATATTGCAGTAATTTATATCTTTAAGAATTGCATGAAATTGTTGGGACTGCTGTCTCAGTTTAAGTGCATTTTAAATATATATCACTGTCCCCAGACAAAAATAATTTCAATACTTAGTTTTAATTTAGCCAGATTCGTACTTTGTGCAACCAAGCCAAAATCTGTTTGTGGTTGGCCTGGTTTTAAAATTCATGCATTTTGTTCCACTGTATAGTAAGCAATCTTTATAAAAATGCACATGAATGTGTACCAACTCAAATAGTACTGTAACACGCAGTTTACTATACAATTTTCATTTCCAAGTTGCTTATCCGGCATCACAGTAACCTACCAGTACTTGGCTGCATACTGGTACCAGCATCACATTAACTTTTCAGTACTTTGCTGCATACTGGTAACCTACCAGTACTAATGGCTGCATACTGGTACCAGCGTCATATTAGCTTCCAGTACTTGGCTGCATACTGTCACCGGCGTCACATTAACCTACTAGTACTTGGCTGCATACTGGTAACATACCAGTACTTGGCTGCATACTGGTACCAGCGTCATATTAGCTTCCAGTACTTGGCTGCATACTGTCACCGGCGTCACATTAACCTTCCAGTACTCAACTGCATACTGGTAACCAACCAGTACTTGGCTGCATACTGATAACCTACCAGTACTTGGCTGCATACTGTCACTGGCATCACATTAACCTACCAGTACTTGGCTGCATACTGGCACCGGCTTCACATTAACCTTCCAGTACTCAACTGCATACTGGTAACCAACCAGTACTTGGCTGAATACTGGCAACCTACCAGTCCTTGGCTACATACTTGCAACTTACCAGTACTTGGCTGCATACTGGCAACCTACCAGTACTTGGCTGCATACTGGCAACCTACCAGTTCTTTGCTGCAAACTGGCAACCTACCAGTACTTGGCTGCATACTGGCAACCTACCAGTACCTGGCTGCATACTGGTAACCTATCAGTACCTGGCTGCATATTGGTAACCTACCAGTACCTGGCTGCATACTGGTAACCTACCAGTATCTGGCTGTATACTGGTAACCTACCAGTACCTGGCTGCATACTGGTAACCTACCAGTACTTGGCTGCATACTGGTAACCTTCCAGTGCCTGGCTGCATACTGATAACCTACCAGTACCTGGCTGCATACTGGTAACTTACCAGTACCTGGATGCATACTGGTAACCTTCCAGTGCCTGGCTGCATACTGTTAACCTACCAGTACCTGGCTGCATACTGGTAACCTACCAGTACCTGGATGCATACTGATAACCTACCAGTACCTGGATGCATACATAACTTCTTATTGTTCTTAACAATATTCAAGTCTTATGAAATTGAAGCTTTTTATTTATCTATTTTGAAAATATCATCTGGTTTTTTTTTTCATACAATTTGTAAATTCTACTTATTTTGTAAAAATGACCTTGCAAATGCCATATTTTTACAGTTGAAGAGCATAAGGTTTGAAATTATTTTCTGAAACATTAGTCTAAATGATGTGCAAATGCAAGATTATTTTGCATGAAATAAGACCAAAACACCATCTATTATTACTTTCTTGATTCATTTTAAGTTTCATATTCTTTTACATGTGTTTTTTATCCAGTTTAAGAATTGCATTTTGACCAACAAGCAGCTCAAACAATTCTGAATAAATTTTTTTGTCATATTTATCTTAATTATGATATTAGTAAAGTATCTTTATTTGCTTAAGGTGGTACCTAACACTACAGGGAGATAACTCTGTAAAAATCAGCTAAACGTTTTAATCACGTTGTATTGTTAAGGAAATATTAAGCTTCTCAATGATCAAAATTAGTGTTTGTCAAACTGCTATATAACCAATGAAATTTTTCTGATAAAGTGGTTGGTTCAAATTTTTTGAAATTTTTATATTTTTGTCAAAGGGTCAAAGTAAATGTTTTGTCAAAATTTTATGACAATTAAACGAGCCAAATTAATATCAGTCAAGGTGTTGGGTACCACCTTAATATGTTCTAGCTTGTTTCTATCGAGAGACTAAAGAATTTGACAATATTTAATTCACTTTACAATTTATCACTGAATTGTAAAATCCGAATTTATATTCATCTTATATGGACATCAATTAGATAGTTTTATTTACAAACAAATTGTCCCACCATAATAGTGGAGTTAAAATTAAACCATGATTGTAAATAAACTTTTACAACCCCCTCTCAACCTGGATAGAGTTAAATTGTAAAGGTATAAATTATCAGTTTTATTGTATTTCTGACTGGGTTTCTATTTATCATTGTATAAGAGGGTTGACTTTTGAGTCATTGCACATCTGCAGTAAACTGTAACTTGCATATATATGAATAAATAAAGAGATGTGAGCTATCTGGCCAATGAGACAACAACCCAACATCTGTTTCTTAGAGGGTTATAAAGCGGATATATTAAAAAAAAAAAAAGATATGAAATAAGAAATAAGATTTTATGATCAACAGAAAAAGTTTTTAGGCTTAAAGTACATTTCTACCTATTTGCATAAACAGAGCAAAGGCACTGGCTTAATTTCAGCGTGAAATCATTGGATCTGAACTAAAAACTGGAAACTGT